ACTTTGAGATATCTTTAAATATTCCAGTAATTTTTCATCTTCGTCCCGAGGGATTTTCAGGTAATAAAGTATTTTGTAGCATACCTCTCCCTTTTCAGACTTCATGGTTGCACACCTGAACTGGTTAGCATTTGCTTTCAGGAGCAGATCCTAAAATTAGAGCAATTAGCTTAAAGAGTATGGTACACTTAAATTCTCTAATAAGAATTTTCTGTCTTGAAAAGCCTTGCAGCCCCAACCAGTATATTAGTTTCCAATGAACGAAAGCTTGACTTAGTATTTATATGAATCTTCATTCCTGATTAAAGACTTGAAGTAGGCTAGTCTTGATTTTCTACATAGTTCTGCCTGGTTGTACTCTTTGCATAGGACATCAAGCCTTTGCTAGGTGTGCCCATATGAAATATGTTCACCCAGAATTCAACTTAAAAGCCTCATAATTATCTATGGCACATCAGCACCATAGGTATTAACTGTTTCCACATAGCTAACAAACATTGGCTTTGGTTTTGAGTTAAATTAGAAAATTATGATCATGGGATCTGAGCACCAAGGGTTGCTCCAAAAGGCACACCCCTAATAGTAGTTCCACCTGTCATTTTAAAGGGGGGATGTACAGGCAGTCACATTTCTAGTTTTTGGTTATTTCTTTTGGTTGTAAACCAAATCTCTAATCAAAGCTGTGAAACACAGACTAGATTTTCTAATGGCTTTCTGGACAGCAGCCGTCCATAATATCAGCACTTCCATAACTGTCTAGAGTATGGCTTCCAGTGTTCTCACTCCTTCTTACAGATGCTCAGACATGGTACTTATTACAGCTTCTGCAAAAATGCTATGAAACAAATGGCATTTTTAATGCATATTTCTTTTAGGACCCAACATTTCAGCTTGTTTAGGAAACAGTCTAGGGAATTGACCTTTGTGAATGCTTTGAATGCCTTTTATAACATTCCAGAGGCAACAAAAACTGCTGTTACTGCAGCTATTTTTTCTTTGTTCCTTGTATTCATGCATTTTCTCCATTGAAGAATGTGGCTGGTTGTTAAGTGATTTTACAGTTATCATAGATTTTTGACAATAAAGGCACTGCAATATCTTGCTTTTCCTCCCCAGTTTTTCTAGGAAGTTTGTACATACAAATAAGCACATAGAAAAATAGGCGTGTGCTTTCTCCACAATATGGAAATACTAAAAGGATAAAAAATAATGTTGTATTGTTTTATAATGAAATATCAAGCGTAGGTAATGTGATGGGCCAGCAAAAAGAATGCAAAGTTTATCCCCCTAGAATCTATCACACATTAAAGCATTTACTATAGTTGAGGAACAGAATCCAATGCCCCTTTCACAAGGACATGAGGAGAGCCCAGAACAGTGATAAATGGACTTGTACTGGCTAGTGAAAGCTAGAGTAAGGCATTTTCAGAACGGGGGTGGGGAAGTGCAGATAAAAAGGAGTCAAATAGCATGCCTTTTATCAGGCTTGTGCTGTTACTGGACTGGGTATGGTGACTGCAGCGTGGGGAGGAAGAAAGAAGGTGGAAGCTGACATTTCAGTAATTCCCTTCCAAAGAGAAGACAACTATCTGCTTTAACTATGATAGTAGCTAACTCATTGAATAGGATTCATATCAAAGTTTGGATCAAATAACTAGATCTGTTTCTTTGTTTTTCCAGGCCCTTCCTTCTCCTGCTCTCTTAACACACAGACCATGTACTCTGCTTCTTTACAAATCATGATAACTTCCCACTCTCTCAGCCTGCTGGAGGAAAGAGTATGGAGTCTGCAAAAAAAGAAGTCAGAGTATGCTGATATTTTTAAACAGTGGGTGATGACAAGTGGTTATTTATCAGTTACTGTAGAAAACAAACAAAAAATATTGAAAAAAATTTGTATTTTGAAGCCTTAATTATCAAGGGAATACCTTAAATATCCAAGTCCTGTGGGAGTAAAAGAGCCGTCATACTATTTCAAGCTTGTCAAGGGAAGAAGGTAACCACGTTTCTGCTACCTTACGTGGCTACTCGCATAAATTCTCAGATAGTACTTGTATAGTGACTAAAGGATGGGTCTTGTCTCAGACAATAATAAAATAAAGAAGATGGAAAAAAGGTGATAGAACAGAATAGAGGATACAAATTTCATGACTCCAGAGAGTCAGGAGCTATTAGGTGCAAAAGCAAATACGTTTCAGATGAAGTTCTATGTCTTATGAAAATAGAACATTACAGAAGAAAGAGTTTAGAAGAAAGGAAAAACTAGAACAAGAACATAATATACTTACTTCTGCTTTTTGGCGATTTTTTGTTTTGATTTCCTCTAGTTGCTTTTTTTCCTTTGGAGGTTTGTAGGTGCTTGGAGGAACCTATATTAAAAGACAATAATCTCTACAATATGGGGTATAAAATATTCCAAGTGACATATTCTCGCAGGAAAAAAACACATAACAGCTACAGTTATTTTAAAAATATTGATTCCTTACTGTTAGTGCCAGTGTAGAAGACATGGTCAGATTCCAATTAGCTGGACTACCCAGGCTTTTTATTCCTGTGCAATGTAATATAACCCCTGGTCAAAAGACCAGAAAGAAAGAAAAATCTGAAACTGGTATAAGAAAGGCTAAAGAAATAATAAATCCTATAGGCCAATTCAAGGGGGAAAAAAATTGCCAGAAGGGGAAAAGTTCTGTTTGACATCTCATAAACTTCAGCTTCACAGCACTGACAGCCAGACAGGGCAGCTGAATACAGTTAAGCCGTGGAGCTCTCTGGCACAGTGTGTGGTAGTAGCAACAAGTTACAGAGACTCCAAAGAAGTTTAGGGAAGAGAAATCCTTTGAAGTTTGTTAAATACCCAGGAACTTCATTGTACCCGAGGAAGTGTTTGAGCTGAAATGGTGGGAGACTGAGAAGGCAGTTGGAGGAAGCAGCAGCTAAGCTTGTCCTGTCCCTATAGTCTTCCTAGACATCTGTGTTTGACCACTGCTGGAGAAGAAACTCTGGGCAAAATGGACTTCAGCTCTTATTTACTGTGGCTGTCCTAATGTCCTTGTAAGGGCATACCATGGGAGGTGTAGACTAAATGTTTAGATGTAGAGGACTGAGAGCACCCTCCTAGCATTAGTCAAAGGTCTGGAAAAGCATTCACATGTCAGAAAAGGCTACAGATAAAATGACCAGGAGAGACGACTTCTGGGGGATTTCAGTATTTGCTTGAGCAGTAAATTTTTCCCAACAAGCAAACTCTGAAAAAAGACTGGATGTCTCCTTCCTATGTGGGTGAGACAAGTCTGCCAGTTTACTGGACATATGCTTAAATATTTATCTTGCTAAAAATGTTCTAGCTCAATTAGAAGTTACAGAATTAATTCAAGAATTAATGGGAAAAATCTACAATGTGTATTGTACTGGAGGCCAGTTTAGGGAACATGGGGATCCCATCTAGCTTTATAGGACTATGTAAAGAGCTATGCTTTCAAAAAATCATGAATCTGATGTACTTTCCACTGTCTTTGCTGCTTGACATCATTATCTACATGCAAAACAAATGCACAAACAGAAGAAGCTAGCAATTAAATGCCCTGGTGAGACTGCTCATGTATATTTGTGAGCTTTTTAACTGAAGTAGAACTGAAACAATTTCCCAGCAGTATATAAGAATTTTTATTATGCTTTTATGGATGGAGAAATTAAAGCCCAGAGGATTTGCAAAGGGTTGCACAGGCAGTGAGTATCAGTTTATTTCATGTGCTTTACCTGCAAAACTGTATTCATCTGCCAGTGTAAGCTGAAAATCTCTTCTCAGAAACTGCTATGCTTACTCCAAGTAATTTGAGGAGAAGACTTTTCAATCAATCGGCTCTGTTTCAAAAATTATCTTAGCCTTGTAATTTAGCCCTCAGATACCATGGTGATGAGTACCAGCCAGCCAGCCAGATAGACAATACAGCAATTATCCAGTTGCTGAAAGAGGATGACTAAGTCACTATAAGTAAATTGTAAATTCCAGCAATAGAGAGATCAAAAAGGCCAGATGGTACCTCCTTAATCCTAATGTGGAAAAAAAGGGTGCCGGGAGCAAGAGACACTAACCTTGTTTTTCCTCTCCAGACAGTGGTCAGGCTCACCTATGCTTTCTGGATATCTTTTTAACAGAGGTTTACTTAGGGAGTAGGCACCAAAAGAAGTTTAAGGAAGAACAAAATGAATAATCACTTTGAACTTTGGTAGTCATCACTCTTCTATTTTTTTAAAGTTACTGTCATAAGATGGAGAAGGGCAAGCTCATGCAATGTTGTTGTATTAAGAGCTTCTAATTTTATACATAACAAGATCATAAAGGTAAATATATCCTTGGGTCTATATATCTGCAGACAAAATCCTCTGTGTTGGCCAAATGAATTCACCCATTTAATTATTTTACTCGGTCAGCAACTCTAGTTATGAAGCGCAGGTGAAATAGTAAGGAAAATATCTAAAAAATACACTAAATTTGTCTGAATGCTGGTACAATAACATCTCAGTGAGGACTTTTTATTTTTTTTAACTGCATTACTGGTTTACAGAACATCTAGGAAGAAATTAATTGTATAACCTTATTATTCTAATACAGTGAAGATATTAAAATAATTTATTTTATTTGTAACTCAGGGCTAATATATCCAATGAAGTTAAATGTGTCTAAATCATTTTGCATGCTATCAGGTTTAAGCACCTGTCTCCGTTTGTTTCCTTTGCAAGCTTCAAGCTAAAGCACTAATTTTTCTTTGTAGAATTGTGTTTATGAATGTGTGTATGAGTATGGGCATGTTTGTGTGTGCATCCACGTGCTTGTGTGCAAAGGACAGTGAAGAATTTGTTATCTTTAGACCAAATATTTAGAGTGAAATGTTTCATTGTTAAATTTCAAAATGAAAGTGTTTTTTCTTTTCACTTTGTGTCCCCTGTGTCTGATGAATGTTTATGATGACGAATGATTATCCTAACCTTCTAGACCCATGTTACTCCAGTGAAACTTTCCAAGGTCAGTGGAGAGTCCCATCTCGATATAGAACATGAAGACAACTATCCTGCCTTCTGCAATAACCCACATCTCCAGTCATCTCCTGTGAAGGAACCATGTGTTCAGTGTACAGGACAGCAGTACTATCCCAGCTCCTGAACTCAATGTATATGGTACATCTCATCTTATTTTGTGTTTTATTTCTAATATAGAATATAGTGCAACCTAGCAGAAAAAAATAACTAAAATATTAATCCCATTAATTAGAATGAACTGATTTCACCATAGGGCTGCAATAATTTATCACTAGTCATTGCTCAAAATCCAGACGCTTCCATATGAATTCATACAGCTGTTTCAGAGTCAAGCAGTAACTATGCCTATTGTTTTTGTGACTACGATATCCCCTGCTAATATACCACATGACAAGCTCTTTGACAGATCCATGAGAACCATGAGAAAAAATGAATATCCCATAAAATTAACAACTTTGGGAGAAAATGGACAAGAACATTTCTGCAGCAGATTATGGTATGTCATCTGGAAGAGCTTTATTTGTGGGCACTCCTTGCAATTACATACAACTCTCCACTACACAGTAGCCAAAACTATTGCCTGCTCTCACTTTACAAGTAAACTCTTTCTTGTGATCTGTGCTGTATTTTCAGTCTCTGTTCATTTGAGGGTCTAAAATGGTGATACTGGCAACAATATGGCAAATTAAAGTGAAGCTTAATTTGCTGAGATGGGTACAGAAATGAGCACAACATATGTCACTACTATGCTAATGGTTTTAGATTCACACAAGCTTTTAAATTTGCAGACTTGGCCAGAATGTAAACCAAATTTAGTATCATCCTAACAACACAAATGAACTTCAGTAAATGCATCCACATTAAGCAAATTTATTCTAAGAGGGGCTGCACAGAATAAAGGTACTAAAATGACAGCTATATGACTCATTCCTCTACTGATTAAGTAGTTATTAAATGCAGTTTTTCAGAGCCTGGTATTAAGATGTTTCAATGTAAAATCCCATTAACTGTATAATACACTACCATTAAATTGCTCTGCCATCCTAAGATGTAAATGGTTTCTAAGAGCATTCAACACATGTATTATTTAAAATCTGAAGTGCTAATACAAGGTGGCAGATAATGCCCAAAACTATGACTTCCAAGCTCACTTCCCACTGCATTTAAATATAAATGATTTTGGAGTCTTTATTAAGTTAGTCATATCAGCTTGATCCCAAATGCTGTTTGCATTACCCCAGTGAGCTAACTTAAAACCAATAGTCTGTCTCTGATTTGTACTAGTATAACTGAGTCACAATCTTAGACAATGAGTAATATAAAAGCTTAGCATTTCAAAGGTAAATCTAGTCTCATTTATACATTAGCAATAAATTAATAAATTTAAACTGAAAAAAACTAATTTTAGAGATTCAACATTAATACAAATAGAAAGGTATAAAAAGGAGGAGCTGCAAACATAGAGGCTATCTCATCTTCAGTGAAATTGCTTTGCCATTTACTTTAATGAGAGTTCATCTACAAAAAGTCTGTCTAAGGTTCTCAAAAATTTTAATTCAGATGTTCTTTTGTTACCTGCTTCGGTTCATTATCCAAAGCAAACATCTTACAAATCAAAGGACTACCAGAAATGCTTATGTCAACGCTGTCATCAATTTGTACCCATTGTATAGTTCTACCTCCAAAAGCCACAAAACAACTACAGGAACTAACCTTTTCACTTTCCTTTGTTTGCATTACAGTTTGTTTACACAACATTCACAGAAATTAAAATAATTAGGTTATTTAATTATTTATTTATTAATAAATCCGATATTCAATAACACAGAATATTACAGAAATCCTTGATGAACTGTGAAAGGTTGTAGATTTTCTACATTTATTGTTAAAGAGACTATTAAAACCCCTACCATGATTCTGTGCACAAGCATGCTTAAAACATAGTATCTCTCAAAGTATAAAAAAACTCACAGGTGGACTCTTTTCCAGGACTGGTATTAGCAGAGGTATAAGAATGGCACGTGGTTTGGGTACAGTCAAATTAAATTCCTTTGGCTGAGTGACCATCGAAGTCTTGACAGGGGTAGTACGATTATTTAATTTATCTGTGAGCTGTCCAATCAGTTGCTGTACTTTTGGCTGCCATCTTCAAATAAAAACAGATTTTTCAATTTAATTTCAATTTTTTCTTTCATACAAACATACACGCAGTATATGAGGTCGGCATTGGTGCAAATTCTGTAATGCTTTCAGTCATTCAATTTTAATAATATTACCTATGAATTTATACTCATGATTTAGTTGGACTGTGTTACTTCACCCCTTGATAGATGCTAGTCCATTCACATTACTAGTGGTGAAATAGCCACAGTTTTTACTGAGTAAGCAACTATCTCGCCAGTTCGTTTTGCAGCAGGACCAGGCTATGAATCAGAAAAGCATCTGTCATAAACTAAGTACATACTTAACATACTTAAATGAAGAGACTATGAACAAACAGTGGTCTGGGTATAGCCACTTTTACCAACTGAGAGAGCACAGATAAATCAATCTCAAAGCACAGGCAATTTTAATACAAAAAAATAGAAATATGTAAGGAGTTTGGTGAATTAGCAAATGAACCCTCAGTGAACCCTGTGCAGCAGTCAGGTTGACTTTGATTTGTCTGTGTTTGGATTTTGGCTTATATGAAGGTTCAGACTTCTTCCAAGGAATGACAAGAAGGTTCAAGGTAAGACACAAACAGGTTATCACAGGGCTAATTACTGTGACAACTTCATGTCAGTTATTGCTCCTCTATATGTGTTCTATCCTTAAGTATTACACATGCAATGAAGCTTTCTCAGAACTTAAAAAGCAGCCGACAATGCAAATTTACGGTAACTTGTTTATGTGGCTGTTACCTCAGCTAGTCATTATGGGATGAGGCTTGCAAGTAACTGCTACGAGTAATGCAGCTCCATTACAATAAGTAGGACTCTTTATAGTAACCTCACTGGCATTAGGAAGAGGAATACAAAGACATATTTAAAAGGATTTAAGCTACTGAACTGATTAAACTGATCAATGCATTCTTAGCCCCCTGAAGGAAGTTTCAAACCCAGTAGCTAAATATGGTCTTTAATGTTCCTGTTCAATTTACATTTACTACTTCTAGGCAAAACACATATTCATTACATCAAATGTAATCTACACAGAATGAAAGGATTAATTCTACTGATTTTGATATGACAGAACTACATACAAATTCTTTTTCAGCTGAAATTGTTTGTAGCATATTTTTGTCTAACACTGTTTGCCGTCATCTGGGTTAATCTATACTGACTGCAGTGAGGAGGATGTGTGATTGCATCCACATTGGTGTACCAATGCTTGCCCCAATTTATCTGTCCTGGGTAAAAACGAGAGTGAAAAAGTGGCACAGTAGGCTGCAGAGCTACTGTTTCTCCACATGAAAACGTTCCAGTCTGGCAAGGGTACTCATGCTACAGTATCCCTACCTAACCAATCTGTGGACACACCTGGCACCTCAGAGCATTTAAATTGTCAAATGATGCTGCAATTGTGTAAATAAGTAAGAATTTTAAAAGACTTTTTTACATGCTTATCTGATTTGCTCAGAAGGGATTTTATGACCATTGGCACAAACAAGTCTGTGCATAAAGCCAAGCTCAGGGAAGTCAAACATCTTTTTCAAATGCTTAATGTCATACAGATGCTGAAGTGACTTATGAGGCATGAGTCTAACTCTGTAAGGTAATTTAAACTTTCAATTTTTTAATTTTTTTTCTTTTTTTCCAGACTATGATGTTTCATCTATTCAGGGGCACTGAAAAGCAAATGTACAACATCTGTGAAAGGACTTTTCTGTGAGAGAACCTTGCCTCTGGGTAAGTAAAAGGGATTAATGTAGTCTCACCAAGACAAGAAGGGTTCCAAGTGACTTCAGTAGGAGAAACACTTTAACAGCATATTGAACTTTCAGGGGAAGCTTTCTCCAGCTTTTAAACTTTGAGGTGGCCACAGGCTACTTAAGTACTGCTTACCTTAGCAGTGGATCAATCCAGTTCTCTTTTACATAGAGTGAATCGTAGAACTGACTCCATTCATCTTTTATCCATGTGTTCAAATACAAGGCATTGAAGAAGAATCTAAGAAACTAATAATAAGTGGTTTCTTTTAAACATGAATACTGAAGGTATGGTGTGTACAAGAATACAAAAAGATAGTTGCTTTTACTACAAACACTGCTGAAGAACTTGCTTGTATTTTACCCTGTAATTATAATCATAGGTGCTTGGTATTTGTAGGTGGTTCTCAGTTCTGTTAGGACAGCCCCATGTCTTTCAGCCCTATTTTGTGAAACACTAATAGATAGTAAAATATTCTTAGTGGCCTAAAATAAATCTAGGGGCTAAAACATGGCGATATGTTGATGCTGATGTGTTAATTTACTTCAAACATTGTGAAACAAAAATTTTTCTTCAAAATTAATTACTACTGCAATACAGTGATTTTAGTATAAGTATACAATAGGGTTTCAGAGTCTAATATACCCACAATCTACTCTTGATTATCTATAGCTTGATGATCCATGGTGCCTAGAAACCTGTCAGGCCTGACACTGCACCTGAATTAATTAAGTTCCTTTCAGCTCCCTGGGAACTGGGCAGGAAGAACTGCTGAGAACTATAGTAACTGTTATACAATATAGTTTCTTCTTTTGTTGAAATATAATTAATTGGCACATTCCCATTAAAGCAGAAGAGTGAAATTTGTCTCACTTACACATTGTAGGTGTCTACATGCTGGAGAAACAGCAACTAACATTTGAACTTCTGCTTCGCCAGAAGGTCAAGAGCCTTTCTTTAAAACTTGAACTGTTCATATGGCCTTCTAAAACAGACTCTTGAAAAATGGCACTCAGATTCACAATGTATCTTTTACAGAAATATAAATTCCAAGCTTGAACCTGAACTTTTTCATTAAAATTCTTGGAAGTGAAAGTACAAGCAAGTATCATGCTGAAATAATCCCAGTAATAGAAAAAAGCACACTAAATGGTGTTGACATTATGAGACATACTGGAAAGCTGTATGCAGTCACTTGAGAAGCTTTGAATGGAGACTGCAGAGCTTATTAGTTCAGACTTGGCATCAATCCTGTCCTGGGTTGGTTTCCACAGAGCCATATAGGTCTTTGTGTTGAGTTTTTAGTTCTGAAGGACTACCAAGGAACTTCTTAATTCACATATGGTGCAAATCCCAAGGTGGCTCAGAGCTTTGTGAATAATTCAGCTATAAGCAATTCAGTTTGACTCAAGGTATTTGCTGCAAATGTTTAACAGATGTAGAAAGCCTGCTACTTGCAATCTGTAGTCTTGGTGTGCCCATTTTCAAGGAATTAACCTGTAAATTTAGTCCTATTTTCATCTATTGTGCTTGTGGTAGAGTCAAAAGACTGATCCACAATTGAAGGACTAAATGAATATTATCCCCTTGGATTCCCATTTTTGTCTAGAAATTACTGCTCTTCCCCAAAATTGAAGATGCTAGCACATCAACACACTATCCAAAATAAGATATTTCATCACTAAAAGCATGACTATAAACTAAGTGTTGAATTGTGAAGAAGTTGTTTTTTTGGTGCTTCCAGATTCAGTGGAGTTTGCTAAGTATATGGTAAGGGATGCATTTCATCCCATTGGTCTAGAAATTCATTCATTCTCCTTATGGAGGATCTTTCTCTGTAGCACATTCATGTTGGATTACATTTTTCACCTAACATAGTAATTTGTACTTATGCAATGTATAAATAAAATGCTAGAAGTCTAGACAGAGTTCATACTCTCCAACAGAACAGGTGCACTGTATATAGACTACTTTTACCAGTTATTGTGACAAAATTTTACATCCAGTTATCCCAGCTGTATACTTAGACCCAGTGAACATGTCCCCTGCCAAAATACTCTTCTTACCTTATTGAAGGCCCTAACTATACATGAAGTTTATAAAACATGTGGTTTCAAACCCATGTAAGCAAATGGGTATATAGGGATGGATTGAACATGACTTGATATACTTAAAATGGGTCAGACCCTGAGCGGTGAGGCTTGTTTCAAATTTCTAGGTATTCAGCGAGCTCACAGAAGAAGTTGATGCAGAAATACTGCAGGTGGTGATTTGTAAATCCTTCAGTTTTCTTTCACTAGCTTTCATTAAACTGAACACCTCCCTCGGTGTCCTCAATATTTCTCTTTTATAGCCTACTCTGTCCTCAGAGGCTTCAGTCAGTTGTCTGCTACACTGCCACATGAAACAGCCTCTGAACAGTTGTTTCAGCTCTCCCTGACTGATCTCCATCTAGGTTTTCTAAATATTTGCTGTAACTGCAACTCAACTACCTCTTCAAGGCAGGTGAAACTATAATAAAGGTACACAGTGGTTTCTAGCTGGCTACTACACCCCGAGACCTTCTACTGCAACACCAGTTATGTACTGGTTATTAACATTTCACACTGCATTAAGACAAATGGGTAATTATGTGATTGATAAATGCTCTGATGTACTCCTCTGAAGTACAGAGAATGGCTGACTGTGTAATCAGATGTCAATACTTCAGTGTATATTTCAGTACTGTTTTAGTCACAGTCCGCAGAGCAATGCTATGCTAAGGATATGCCCCAGTCTGCATCACAGTGGAGAAGGTAGTGACTGCAGCCCTGGAACGGTTATCCAGGCAATGGCAGGGATTGCAAATGGCAGCACAGCAGTACCAGGCGTCACTTCTGACCAGAGTCTGCCTGAGCCAAAGTCCACAACCTTGGTTTTGATAATCCATATCACAGATGGAAAATGTAGGCAGAATAAGACCCATGAAGCCATAGCACATTTAATTTCTTAACAATTGAAACTTTTGTGTTTTTTGAACTCAATTGCTAGGAAAAATCCCTTACATTTCTGTTTTATCTTTGGCCGCACATGACACAGGTGGCAACTCCAATATCAGCAGGTGTTGCTATTATAGCAGCAGAATGTGGCTTGAAGTTCTCACAGATTTCTGTTTGGATGTTACCAGCATCTGTCTCCTTAGAGAAGTCACTGGACTGGATTTTGGTAACAGCATTATTCTGCTTACTCCTCTGTCTCCTCTGTCTTGAATGTTTCAAGAGTTTTGCTACTCACAGAGCATGATAACCAAGATTCACTTCCCTTCTAGGAGTGGTGGAATTACACCAACAAAGAATTGTACCCATTTTTACTATTTTAATGTATTCTGTCTGTAGTAAGACAAGTGTGTATAATTAAAGACTGTTTTGTAATGCCTTTTTACATATGGATTGAATTAATACCTTGCTTTTGAGAATTTGAACACATCCTGCTAATATTCTTAACGCATTTTTACACAATGGGATTGTATAGATTCCTGAGAAATTGGAAGTTTCCTCATCTGATATTATCTTTACATTTGTGTAGCTGTTTGCAGAGCTGAAATCCTTATATTCACAACATAAGCTCAGTTAACTTAAGGAAGTAACTGCAAGAAAGAGCAGGTTCTGTTTCTCCCCATAGATCAGCCACTACCTGAGAATGCTATTATTTTGGCTGTACACACCCACAGCTATTTCCTGTAGTAGCAAATGCAATCAGGGATGTTCCTGTCCACTCCTCTCGTCATCTGAAGGAATTTAAGGCAGGGTTTAAGAGGGAAAGCCCTCTTATTGTAGTTTAGTTCTTCAGCTCTGCCAGTTCAACCACCTGTAGGATTGTACCTTTCAATTGCAACAGATAAATGAAAAGGAAAGCAAGAAGCTCTTAAGAAGGCTTTCCTATGAATAAATTTTAATGGGCAACTCTATCTTGAGCATCCTATTTTGAGCTAGATGTGTAAAGAAAAGTGTCCTAGCCATGGTCTCATGTCCTTCTGCCATTGCATGACCGAACTTGGACTTTTTTTACCTGCGATGTCCACCATGAGGCCAATCTTGTCCTATTTCTTGCTGATCTTGTCCCACTATTCCTGCCTCATCATAGTAGCAATTACAATACCCAGTTCTTATGTAGTGATTTGCCTTTACAGATCTCAGAAATTCTTTATAAAGGACTTTATAAAGGACTTTACTGTTAGAAGCAATCAGAACATGAAACAGAACAAAACAAGTTCTTGAATGCTACAAAGAAAACACAAGTTATTTTCCTCTTTTTTTTTTTTTTTACAAGGCAAATATGAAATTATAAAGCTGTTTACTTCAACTTTTTATTTCAACAGTGTATTTCCTCCAACATACAAAACCTTAAATTTTACAACGAACACAAAAGAATAACATGTATGAATAACAGAACAAAAAAATAGGCTTGAACTAGCAACGCATAGCTAAGTTCTTAGAAGAACAATCACCCTACAGTTACAAAATTGGATTTTTATCCTATGGTTCTGTAATTATACAACCATAAAAAATTTTTGCATGTATTCTTAACATTACAGAATGAGAGCGTATGATTTCCTGTTCAAGCAGATGAACATGTGTTAGTGAGGTAGCATTATTATTCTGCCTGGATATTTTGCCTAAATGAAAATATTTGAACATGCATCAGTCACTGGGAAACACTGTGACTGATTTGAATGGATTCTGTCATGCTGTCCTTTAACGGAAATGTCTACTCACACAAGTCGATCTCATTCAACTGAAGACTACTCATTAGAGTAAGGTTTATCTGCATGATTAAGAAAATTCCAGTCAGCCTGTGATGTGTGGAAAAAATTATATTTTAATTAAAGTATATCTATTCTGAGTAAATATATGTGAGTAATTTTTCTGCATCTCAACTGAACTCAAGACAGTAGCCATCAGGCAAAATCTAAAGGTCAGCATCCAAAGGACAGTCCCAAATTTCTGATAACTTCTGTTGCTAACACTGCAGATCTGCCTTCTGCTGTTTTTGTCTCTGTTGCTGAGGGGACCAAATGCTGCTTCTAAATCCTCTGCTGCAGGTGCATTAATATAATCTAGCATCACTTTGGAGACAAATAACCTCTTCTAATGCAAGAGAAGAAAACCTAAGTACCATGGTGATGAGGATCTGGTAAGATACTTAAGCAAAGTTACATCTACAGGAAAAAAAAAGTAGCAGGTGCAGACCATTGCATAATGCAGCACTTCCCTATCAGAAAAGAGTTATTCCAGACAAGGAAGGAGAAATTATCTGAAATAGAACATCAGGGCACTGATGCTTAAGCCACATAAATCTAGGTGAATGGAATCAACAAAAGATGGCTGGCATGAAGTGGGAAAATTGTGTTGCTAGCTGAATGAGGTCAAGATGCATCCAATCCAGCTGCTTGTGTCTAAGGTGTTTACCAAAGAAGAGGCTGGGAGAGCATTTTAGACAGAGTGATTTGTCTGTCTACCAGATTATGATAATTCTTCCAGCCACTTCTCTGTTCTTTCTAACAGTTAATGAAATATATAATTTTTTTCTCTGAATTGAATTAATAAAAAACATTCCATAGTAAGCCCATCAAAATAAAGTGACTAGAGGGTTTCTAAAAATATCACGCAGACAACTAACCTACTCTCTCCCTACATACTATAAAGCAACTGTACTCATTAAAGAGACACTGGCATCCACGTGAACATTCAAAGTAATCCGTATAAGGATAAACCTTAGTCTTTTGGGTATTAATTAATGAAATTTGCCTATCTATTGAATTTCGTATTTGTTATTCAAATGCCATGTTTGGACTATGCTTTGAAGCATCTGGATGATCAAAGTCTACATATGCTGTGTCACCAGTAATTTAATTTTTAGCCCATTTTCCTAAAGAAAACAGGGCTTGAGAAAGCATTGACGCTCAGTTTATCCCTGTGCCCATCTTTACAATATAGCTTTTAAGATAATCAGCACTTTCAATCATTTTGAAAGAGAAGATATCTGTATTCCTACAAATTTAAGGAAAATTAGCAAACAAATAATGAAGCGAAACCCAAATTTGTGGCTCCAGAGAGGAAAAGGCAGGCAGAACTTTGTTGTCATGCCTCTATTCGGCAGCAATGGCGTGGTCAATGGCACGTGTGTTGTAACAGGGTAACTGGTACATGCATAGCTCCAAATGAGCAGTTGTTTTTTGGGAAGGAGAAAAAGTGATAGGACAATAGGCTTGATAATCAAAGTGGTAGTGGGAAAAAAGTGGATAGTGATAGTGAGAGAGAAGAAATAACACTAATCAGCAGGAACTGCAAGTTTCAGTAGATTCATTGTGTATGGAAAAAACTTCTGCCTAAAGTCAAAGAAAGAATGCAAGCAGAGCCAAGAGTGAGTATGCAAGTTAGAGGAACAATGGTAAATCACATGAACTGTAAATCATGTGATTATTCTACCTTATTAGATTATATAAAATACATTTTAAATTGATCTTTGACTGAATATAAGTCACTATGTGAGCATAGAAATTGAAGGTTTTAACAAATACTAATTTAATTTCTGAATTTAAGCAGAAAATAACATTGTCTCAAATTATCCTGAAAGTTGAGAAAAGTAATCTGATTAATCAAATACAATTAAGAAATCTTTTTTTTTTTTTTTAATGTTTGGTACTTTTATTACCTTTTGCATTTTTGCAGTGTCCAGAGATTTCACAATTCTGCTGAAGTGCTGAAGACCAAGCTCTTCTAGTTGGAAAGTAGCCAGATAACAAATAACTATCAAAAGATACATACATTTAAAATGCAGCAGGAAATTCTTATAAACCTATACCATATAATCAGCATTCTCTGGGGTTTAGACTATTACTTTTATTTTAAATAATCTTCAATATTGTTTATCTAACTGGGCAATATAATGCTTGACAATGAGAAATTGTTACATGAAGTTATAATATAATGTTAACCCTATGTTCATTATTAGTATTGTGACACTATGCTATGGTTCATATAGATTAGTTATCTCTTTCATGAGTCAGATATCCAAGCTAGTGCAAATCTACACAATTTTGTGGAATTCTAACAGCTGAGGATCTAACCACTTTCACAAAATATGTAAAACAGTTGTAGTTATCTGAAGTCATTCATTGAGATCCTTTCGATGCTTGCAAAATTCTGTTTGCAAAACTGGGAGATCTACCATAGCAGCATTTGGAAACCTCTAAGGCCGAAGGTAAGATCTTGCCATGATTTCACATTATGACAACATCACCACTAAAACAAGCAGCTCTGTCAACCCCTACTTGCTTGTTCTCATCCCCTCCTCTTACTTCCTGGTGTTTCCTCTCTTGGGCAAGTACAGTCACCCACACAGCCAAGTTAAAACAGATTGTGAATTTTAACCTGAAATACTTTCTTGATCAGTTCACTGGATGGCTGCAAAACACAAGTTCTAACTCAAGAGAAGATATGACATAGAGGTGAGAATGAGTGGCTAGTGGTGACAAAAGGGGTGGCTTGTATCTTTGGGTAGTAGTACCAGCTTATACAACATATATATGCATATTCCATCTGTGAAATTCTGTGTTAGTCTGGCAACAAGGCATGGAGAATAGGAGTCTGATGGCTCCTGAGAGACATGACTGAAAAGCTTCTGACAGTATTACATTGTTGGAAATGGCTCTCTTTCAGTGTAACCAAGATTTTCACTGGAAGCGAGGTTATTCTGAGGAAATTTAATGTGAACAGGAGACATAAAAGAAAGTTTTGACAGTGAATTTTTCAACATATTCTGTTGCTAATGTTTTCAGAGAAGATAGCTCTTATTCTTCTGTTCCAAAATCATAGTTTATTATACATAACAAAAATTTTAAACATCAACTGTCATATTTCTAGTATTTATTTTCCTTCTTTTTTTGCAAGTGACCATTTTGCTGAAAATGTTGTAATTCTTTGTTTTTATTCTGAATTAGAATAAAGCCAATTTTTTAAATTGTGAAATTCTCTGGGAAATCCAAACCTGATTTTTGCACCCCCCTCTGGCAAGTATGCAGTTGGATACAGGAGGAGGCACAGTCAATGCTGTGGGATTTTTGCAGACCTGCAAAGTTCATGAGCTCCTGTATCAGCTTTCATTTGACCATACTCACTGTGATCAATCAGGCTTC